AATATGTAGATAGACATCGCAGTGACAGGGAATTTAAGGAAGGGGAGGAAATTTACCTTAAGCTTCAGCCTTACAAACAAACTTTATTGGCTTTGCGCAGAAATTTAAAGTTGTCTGCTTGATTCTATGGTCCCTACAAAATTAAGAAACGAATCAGTTTAGTTGCATACCAATTGGATTTACCAGTTCATTCTAAACTTCATCCGGTGTTTCATATAAGTCTTTTGAAAAGAAAAATTGGGGATACGAATTTGGCTTCACGAGACCCACCTGAACTCACTGTTGATGGTCAACTTCGGGTTTATCCTGTAATTGTTTTGGATAAACGAGTTATTAAACGAAACAACCAAGCAGTAACTCAATTGCTAATTCAGTGGTCGAATTTAGGGATTGAGAATACTACCTGGGAAGATTTTACAGTACTTCGTTCCCAATTTTCTGATTTCGATCCTTGGGGACAAGCATCGACTACAGCTGGGGGTATTGTCATGAATCAAGAGGAGAAATTAGAGGCTACTGAGGAGAAAGGGGGAAATGCAGGGAAATTAGGGATTATAATTGGAAATTTAGATGATGGGCATATGGATAAGGTAGAGATGTTACCTGATAGGCAAAGGATCGAGCGTGGGCTGCTGAAGACTGAAGCAGGAGACCAGGCATTAGTGGACCAGGAGATAGCAAGCCCAATAACCTACATTCAACCAATGAAGACAGAAATGGTTAAAGGAATATATGTTGTTAAAGAAATGATACAGCTGGCATTCTGTTATGAAACAATTCCTATAAAAAATTCAGTTGTAATCAGATGAAATTATCAATGAAAATATTATGAATTATGTTTTATTCATTCTATTATCTCTATCTTCTTAATCCTTTCTTATTCTTGCGAGCAACTTATCATATTCTCCTTCACAACATCCACCGTGTTCGCCGCCCTCATAGGACTCCAATGAGGGGCCAAAATATCTCAAAGTCATCTTTCTCTCATACACCGAAAGCTAAGCCAACCAAAACCTAAAGAAATCGATCCCCAAACCATAAAAATAAACGCAAGCAACAGTTACCTCTGACGGCGAAGAACTCTTTTCCCTTTGGTGTAAACACGGCCAAATGTTCGAACGGGGTAAGGTTTTTTTGAATTGGTTTTACTTTTTTTTGTTGTTGTTTTTTGTTTGCTCCAAAGGAAGATGATTCTTCTTCTTCTTTTCTCTTGTTGATGAAAAAAAAATCCTCCATTTTTCAAAGGTAAGATGTTTTTTGTTTCGTTTCTGCTGTATTCGATCTTTACTGAGGCCAAGAGATCTTCCCTCTTTTCTGATGTTTTTTTTTGGGTTTTGCATACATGAGGCCAGAAAAAAGGTTTCCCCTTTTGGCATTTTGTGGCAACCAAGACTCCTGCCATCCACTATCACGACAGAGAGAGTTGGCAGGGGAGGACAGACGGTCGTTGCAAGCGTGCGGAGAGCTCGATGGTGGCTAGGGTTTCTCCCAACCCTAAATGTTTGGGCTGCTGCTGGGCCTCTTGTCCTTGTAACTTTTAGTTTTGTAATTTGGGCCTGCTACAAAAAAATTAATAAAAATTAGTTCATTTTAAATTCCACTAATATATATATATATATATATATATATAAAATTACATTTGTATATATACATAAACATAAGCCTACATAACCATATGAATATAATATATAGGTATATATGCATACACATAGACCCACATCAACATATAAATATAATAAAATATATGTATAGACATACACATACAAGATATGCACATGCATATATAAATATTCATGTACACCTAATAATATATGCAATGTGCCCATCATATATATATATACAAATGAAACTCAGGTAAAACCCTTGACAAAATGAGTATTTACACCCGGTAAAGGTCTTATATATATAGTATAAGGACATGCAGTAAGGACTTACTCTGTGCACAAAGTAGAGGAGCTTGCGATAAGGTCTTACAAGTCATAGACTAGGTCTGAAATACTTCCTCCAATAATACCCCCAATAACAGTAATAAACTTATATGTATTCGAGTGAAAACATTAGTTTAATCCATTAAAACATAAAAATATTTCATATTCAGAAATCAGATGCATAAATACAATAAGTCAATAACCAGAGATTATATAAGAAATAAACAGTACATCAAATATCAAATAAACAATATTCAGAAAATCAAGTATCATGTCGTAAAAATATTCAGTATCATCAGAAATCTAAAACAGTCCATATATGTAGTTTTAAACAGTAATGTAACACCATCATAAAACACACTTATACCGGCTTGAGTAGTCTAGTAAGGAAGCCAACTACTGGGTCTGCTGATCACTATCTGTGGTAGCGTTAGATCCTACGAATCAGAAAATCTTAATCAGAATTCTAATATGAATAATAATAACATCTATTTAAACAATTTACGAAAACCTACGAGTAACTCTCGAAGAATGCGTATAGTGTATATCTGACGGACGGGAAGCAACGGATCTAATCGACTCTCGTTCGGGGGAAATACAAGTACCTTCATAAAAATATATACTCGAATCAAGTTCATAATCAAATCTCAAATAAACAAACAAAAATACTAAAAATACTAAGTATTCTCAGATTAACGGCTCGATTCGAAAATTTCAGGTCAGAATTTGGCAAAATGGACCAAAAAATCGGACTCAAGATGTCGAAAAACATCAAGATAGAGGTTTTCGAAAAATGTCAACGATTAACAGTCAACGATTGACCATTCGGTTAGGGTAGGACCGATTTGGTTCGATTTGAGTCGGTCGGATCGATCGAGTCGGGTCGGCCTGATTCTAGAAGCCCATCAGGTGGTGGACTTTCCCCATGCGCAACGATGACGCGTGAGGGCACGTGTAGGGTCTTCGTGGTCGAAAAAATTCTGGAAAATTCCTATATGCATTTTAAGGGGTTTTGAGACACTTATCAAGCTTGGTTCACAACTGTGAAGTAGTGAACGACAGAGAGCTTGATTTCTCAACGTCAAAAACTTGTTCTTCCTCACCCCTTCACACGTCATCGATAACAGAGACAAGGCGGACACCGGTGGATTCGAACGACACAAGGAACACGACGTTACGGGAGGTGTCGAAAACGAAACAACGGTCAGCGACAAAACATCGATTGAAGTTGGCTTACTAAAAGAGGTAAGCTTGAAGAGAGAGAAAAGAGGGTTTACAAATGATTAATCTTTCTAGATTTGGGGTTATATAATCCTTAGAAAGGAAAATGGTAGAATTGTATAAGAGTTCCTTTAGTTTTAGTTACTACTATCAAAATTTGGATATGAATTTAATCAAATTTCATTTTAGTCTCTGAATTTAGTTAAAATTTCAATTTAGTCCCTAAAATAAATTTTAAGAAAAATTCAGGCCTTAAATTGGGGTGTGACAACACTTGCCATTGAAGTCGTGAATGATCTTAGCACTAGTGTATCGTCCGGCGTCTTCCCTTTGTAAAATCAATACTATTTTGCAATGTCGGCTTTGTCACTGTGTTAAGATAAAAGTTGTTCCCTACCTTGTACAGAGAATTTCTGAATACAAAAATGGCAGAAACTTATTTTTTAGAACACATGTTTGGTAAGAAGTGGATTGCTAAAGACATTATTGTACAAACTATGATAAACCTATTCAAAATGGTGCCAATGATGCAACAGAAAAAGAATGTTGCTTTAAGGTTATTTTTTTTCTTTCTTCTAAAGCATCTATTAGTTGGAAGATAATAAAAAGACTTTAGATATCGTTTGGTTCACTAAATGTAAATTCATTATTAGAAATAAAATTATCATAATGTTACTCTACCTAACATATTATTGGTTATCATAATGTTAATCTACTTAATATATTACTGAAAATGTTATATTATCTTATTTCGTTTGACGAAAATGTAAGATTATAATATTTTGTTGAATAAATATAAGATAATAAAAATATATATTTTATTAAATTATCCTTGAGATATTTTTTATTTTAACAAGTTGAATTCTCAATATTAAAGTTAAAATATTTACATATATATTTTTTAAAAATTGTTATTATTATTATTGTTTTTAATTTATCATATTTTTTTATTTCTTTAGAAATATAAAAATATACTTGCACCAATATAATTATGTATTTTAGATACCAATATATTAAGAGACGTACATACTTACACCGGTGTATGTCTTGATTACTCCATTTTTTATTTTATCTATACTACGTGCGTGAATTATACAGCGAAATATCATATTAAATTATTTGACAAAAATAATAGAAAACATAAAAAAATAACAATATACAAAATCATTTTATAAAAGTTAATCCTAAAAACTAAATACAATGAAATAAATATTAAAAGTAAAATTTGAATCAATCACCTATATAATATATGCTCAAAATGAAATAGTAATCTAACATTTTTATTTTTTTATTATATGCATCATATTAAAGAAGCAATGATTGAAGTCTTTTCTGAGAACGTAGAGAATTTATCATAATTTTGATAACACACGATTTAAGGAATAAATGATGAATGAATAATTTTGATAACAACACGATTTATCATAATTTATCATAATTATTTGATGAATAATTTTGTTTTAGAGGCATCTTTATCCAAATGAAATTCCCGGGATAATACTTAAGAAAAAGTTATCGTAGGGAATGCTTTGCTACCTTCTAAAGAGAATTATTCTAAACCAAACGCAAGTATATATTTCCAGAAAATATTATTTCCCCTAATAATAATATTTTCCGAGAATCAAACACACTTTATTAAAGTGTAATAGAATAGGGGCGGATACACTAAGTCCCTAGGAGTCAAGCGCATCCCATTATTTAGGAAAAAATGAAATTTAATATAATATGTCAAAGAAAAATAGAAAAAAATAAAAAAAAAATTGCACCTCATTTTTTTTAAGAAAAAAATTAAATTTTTTGACTCCATTTTTAAATTTATGTAACATTTTCTACATGTTTTCACATTTTATAAATAACATGTGACAGTGGCATAGAATGGAAGTTGAGTTTTCTAATGCCTTATACTGATCAACTCAATATCAAATATTAGGGTTCCCAATGTAGAGCCTTCTCCATTGGAAAGACGGGTGGGATTGAAAATGGTGGTAAACAGCCTCTGTTTGTCAAAGAACTGGAGCAGAGCACAAGACAGGTAAATAATTGCAAATGAAGAATACAGGCAGGACAACAATGTCAAAGAAGATAACGTACGTCAGGGGGAATAGGCTCCTGTGAAGTATTCTGATATCCTTTGGACGGAGGAATGATAACTCGACGAGTTCCACCTACTTTCATTGATCTCACTGCCCATTCAATCCCTGAAATTACCTACATTTTTTGGAAGTACAAGTCATGTTTGGCTCATTCATACACGAAAGTTGTATTAATATTGTTTAGCAAGTCAGTGATAGACAATAAATGCTGGTGAAATTGAAAGCCTTATAAGTTGTGCAAACTTACTTTCCCGGAGCCAAGGGTGAAGATAAAGGGGATGGGCTCTCCAGTACTGTCTTTATGATCATAAGTGGAATCAAACCGCCACCCTTGCTTTGCTGCCAGCCTTCCATAATAATGTATTGCAACCTTGTTTTATTATTATTTTGTTTTTACATGCCAAAAAACAACCACCATTAAAACTACATGGATATGACGGAAGAAAATTACTACTAGTAGTTGCGTGAATTCAAGTAATACTATGAAGGGGAGGGAAGGACCTGGTCTCCATCGACCGGGGTTGGACCGGTGCCAGCACGGATGTCCAAGGCCTTGACACCACCGGAGTTAGGGAGGTCGTGAAAGTCGGTGATACTGGCGGATTTTGAAGGAGATGACAAGATTAAAGTAGAAAAACTGGTGGTTGCTATGGAAACTAGTAAATTTCTCCTTTTACTTGCTGCAGAGGAAGAAGATAAGGGCTGAGGAAAAGTTGCAGAGATGATTCGTGGAGATGAGGGAGTTCTCCGGAGAAGGGAATAGAGGGACGGTGCTGATACGTAGCAGTGGACCGACAGCATTATCTTCTGCTCTTTCGTTGGACGCAAATAAAAGTCGATAAATAAATAAAAAATCACATTTAGAGGAAAATCCAAAATATTAAAAGTCGCCACGTGGGGAAATTGCCACCTCATGATCCGAAAAAATTGGTAGAAATAAAGATTCATTTTCATGAATACCATGCAAAGAGGGATGGGAAGATAGGACTTGGAGTAATCATTGATCGGCCAAAGAACCAAGTCACGGAATGTTATTTTCTCGACATAAATCTGAAAAAAAAATTGTAACAATTTATACTTTGTGATCCATAATAGAAAATTTGGAATCACTTTCCCTGCTGATTTTCTCATAAAACTGTGATACAACAGTGGCTGCATAGTACTTGTAAGAAAAATTTATCTCCATGGTATCTCGTAAGTGCTGTACTTGAACAAACAAAGGAGGTGCATCGAAGAATTTAGGATCGAACTCGATACGTTCAACAGCTTCAGGAATTCAGTATTCCTTCAAGTAAAAAAAGGAAAAATTGTTGAGCTATTAAGTTTTTTACCAATACAGCAGCCGCCATATCCCAAGACGATATTCCCAATACGCTTCTGCTACTCCAAGAGCTACATGGCATATGTCCACCGCCGCCCTAGTCATTTAAAGTTAAGGAGAGAAAAAGGGTAAAGCAGGAGCTCTGTAATTTTTGGAGAAAGTGATTATGAGCTCTGAAATGTCATTTAAGGTTCATACTCTACTGATGTCAGTAAATTCCTTGAATAATTCGATGTTGATAATCCATGCATCGCCATATTCACATAAAGACCAGCTCTAACTTTATCATTCTGAGGAAATAATCCCATGGTCCAAATGGCCCATTACAAATGAATATATAGAGCCCAGCTCTAACTGACTCAGATAGCCGAACGGCCTAACTTACTTTCACAACTGATATAATAAGAAAATAGCAAACTTGATATGGTTTCAGCATTACACAAAGATATTGAATATATACCCTTTATGGTAAATTCATACAATAATACTGAGACGTGATTAAAAATAAGCCATACGGAAGAACACCTATACGTAAATGTTCAAGCGAAGGCTAATACGAGCAACTGGAAGTCCGCATTGACTAGTAATGCGCAAACCTTTTAAGATTCCCATGTTTTTGTGTGTGTGGTTATAGATTGTTAAGCAGCATGACGGAGACAAAAGTTTAAGGTCAATGACGCACTTCTCTTTCAGCTTAAGTACGTGGAGAAAACCAACGGGCAAACTTGTGGTGTGGAGAATGATTATACAACATGGATCATTTTGCTTCCAAGAATATGAACAAGAAAGCATCCTAAAAATTATGGACATACCTAAAATTTTATTTTAGAGGTGCAAATTTTTAAATTTTAAAAAAGAGATCAACTTATAAAATTTTAGGGGATAAAATAAATTTTTAATAAAAAATACATAGATTTTTTTTTAAAATATATAATAATTTTAAATTTTTAGGATATGACTGACCCACACATGCATGCATCCAAGCTAAAAACCTTTGCCCCCAAAGCAATTACTCAATCTGTTTACTTTTTAATATTTTAAGCATTGAAATTATCCCCTTACATAAAAGCAAACTTCAATACCAAAATTCTGACTTCATAGATTTTATTATGACAATTGCATTGTAACATGAAAATAAATAATTTCATTACTGAATACTTTCTTTCCGTTTTCATAAATCTATGTATTATGTGACTTCCTATTTATTTTTAAGCGATTGTTATCTAAGAAATGTTATGTCATCAATCAATGCTGGAATTAATTGTTCGATAGAAAGGTGAGTGACCAAACATCACCTAATGCATTTTTCATCGATACTTGATGCCAACACATCCAAAAAAGGACTGTTAGCTAAGCTACCTGCTAACTGTTAATTAATATGATAAGTATTTAGTCATTAGCATGTTTAATTGGAAGTTCAAATCCATTGACACGTGTCTCCTTTGAATTTTTTCCCACGATACAAATCATATGGTTAATGTATCTTGACTAATCATCATTAATACATTATTTGTTTATATTCAATTAAATTGATTAAACATGTTCGCCATGCCCATATTAATTCATATATACATTTATTTAAGCCACCATTAACTTCCAATAATGACATGGGAAACATAGAAACATAATCACGCTTTGGATGGACCCTAAAACATTGTTTAAAGGGAGAAAACAACAAAAGAAAGTTTACCGACACCATTTAATCAATGTCAATAATTTTCCAATGAATAATTTTTTTCTAATGAAAAAGTCAAAGGGAGCTAACGGTGTTAACTGGTTGGTTATTGTCATTTCCATGTGCAGTAAGCTAGCTATCTTACCTACACTTTAATTTCCAACTTATTTTCAATCAAATACCCATTTCTACATGGCTTAATGAAGAAAAAAAATTCAAATTATACAATTTGTTAATATTAGATTATTGAAACAAATTCACTTAAAGTAGGTATTTAATATTTTATTTATTATATTTTTAATTGTTTATATTGTAATAATTGTTAAAGAATATTTTTATTTAACATGTGTCACTACTATATTTTTTTTGAATTTTTAAAAAATAAAAATAAAAAACATTATTTTTTAGAAAAGACTCAAATTTTTAAATAAAAAAAAACAAAATCCTAAAATCTCTAATCTCATTTCAAACCGTCATTTTCGGTCACCGTTTATGTCGCGGCTCACCCACTAACCAGCCAACGTCTTTATGGTCATCCTAAAAGACATTAAATATCTACTTTAAATGATTTTTCTTAAATATATAAAAGTAGCAAAAAAAAAATATAGTTTACATTCTTTTTTTTATTTATTAAGCCTTTGTACATCAACTTGGAAAACTGGAAACTTTAAGATTTTGGAAAATATGGGATCTTTGGAATCACAATTCACACAATTTCTGTCTAAATAAAACAAACTCATTATTCCAGGCATGTATGCTTTTACTAATACTAGGGAAAATATAATAATATCAAGAGTAAATTATCCAGATATTAAATTTTAATCTATTTATTAAGTTTATTATTATTAATTTTTAATGTTATCACTAAATTTTTAAAAATCAAAGATATAGGAAGATTTTAAACTGCTACGGATCATCCTTTTAACATAAATTATGATAAACACGTGTGTGGAACAAACATAAGGCATCTGGAATCCTATCATGAAAGAAACATAAGCTGTATTATCATCACAAGTGGAACCAAAAAATAATAACGAAGAATATACATTTTTAAATGCTAGAAAAAACATTTATAATTAATACATCCGTAAACATGATAAAATTAAGGCTCGTATTGCTTTATGTACATTCACAATTTCAACTACCACGTCACCCACTTTAAACTTATGTAATTAATTTTACAATATAATAGCAAAGGACTTTTATAAAATAAAGTTTTAATTCTTTTTAAATTTAATTATAGATAATATTTTCTCTTTTTCTTATACAAAAAATAATAACAAAATAATATCAGTTTTATCTAATTTTCTTCTATTTTTCAATTATATTAATAACGGGTAAAAACAATTTCCATTTAAAAAATAAAAAGAAAGAAAATCCTTTTTATCTTCTAAATTACTTTTTAATTAATTAAATCTTAATTCAATTAGTATCAATATAATTATAATATATAAAAATATTCAGAATAGAACATAATTAAACACGCATCATCTTTTGATTTTAAATTCAAAATTTTGAACTCTAATTTTTAAACATAAACCCTAATTCCTAACATCATAAATCTTAAACTTTAAATATAAATTAGGGATGGCAAACGGGCGGGTCGGGTGCAGATACCCCCTCCCCAATCCCCATACCCACCTAATATTTTTCAATCCATCACCCGCCCACCACCCATGATGGGTACAAATTTTCAAATACACACCCGTCCACGCGGGTACAATTTCAAATCCATCTCCACACCCACTAGCGACTAATGGGATGTTGGAGTTGGTTCCCAGACAGTTTGTGATGGGGTAGCAACGCATGCTTCAATTTATCAGAGGAGTGGCTCTACGAATGTTATGGAGACAGATTGTAGGGAGCATGTAGTCGCAGAACTGGATTGTTGAGTTGCTTTCGATGTTAATGCTCATAGTGCGCCTAATATGGGTTTTGAGGGGCTAAAGAATATGGAAATTGATGTTAATGCATATAGTACGGCTGATTTGTGTTTGGATGGGCAACATTGGCTAAAGAACATGGAAAGTGACGTGGTTAGTGGGATTATGGGTTTAATCAACAAGCCGAATATTTCCCTAATTAAAGACCAGATTAAAGACTAAATATCCTTAATATTTGGTTAAATTATATGTTATATATTATACAATATTAAAATTTATAAATTAGTCTCTAAAATTACACCTAAATTCATAATGGTCCAAAATTTAATAGATATTTAGCTGGGCGGACGGATGTGGGGCGGACAGATGCGGGGTGGACGGATGCGGGGCGGGTAATGTCTCAAACTCATTACCCGCCCACCACCCACGACGGGTACCACTTTATAAATCCACACCCGCCTACTACCCGCTAAAATTATACCCATCCCCGCTCTAATTGGAGCGGATGCGATGCGGAATCTACGAAACTGTACCCGTTTACCATCCCTAATATAAACTCTAAATCTTAAATTAAATATAATTTCTTAATTTTACGTTTATACTATCTATATATTAGATATTTTTTTGAAAAAATTAAAAAATGTTATCTTTCCATTATTCTACGGACAGTATCTGGCAAAGTCTAGGAGCAAAATTACAAAGCAAAACCATGTGAAGCGTTCCATTAATTAATCAAAGCTAATAAAAAGGTGAGTGGTTCTTGCCGTTCCATTAGGGTTTTGTCAATATGTCAATGTTTGTCCACCGTGAACCCCCCGAAAACCCCAAAGACACAAGGAACCACCCAAAGCCAATTAAAGACAAAACCATGCCCCTCCTTCCTCCCTGTTCCACCAACCTGGCCATTACATACCCTTCATCTTTATAATTATATATATACATATATAGATTATTCAAGGGAC